ATGAATTGTGACAGGCGTTGATTGACGTACTCAGTACCATTATCAGATCTGAGTCTTTTAATACCCTTACCAAACTGAGTCTCAACCATGTGATGAAACCGAATAAATATCTCTGGTACTTCAGACTTGTCTTTCATCAAGTATAACCATGTTATCCGAGTACAATCGTCAATAAAAGAAACAAACCACCTAGCACCTGAAACACTGTGCACTTTAGAAGGGCCCCAAACATCAGAATGGATAAGAGAAAAAGGTTCCCTGCTTTTAATAGTGCTAGAAGGAAATGACACTCGATGGTGTTTTGCAAATTCACAAACATCACAATGAAAGGTCTCAACCGACTTATTGAGAAACAGAGAGGGGAACATAGACTTCAAAAGACTAAATGGTGGATGCCCAAGACGCTTGTGATGGAGCCAAATCATAGACTCTGCAGTAGAAGGATGACGTGTCATTAATAATTGATTTTTGCTAGCATGGTCTGGAAGGAGATGATATAACCCATCCTGTTCATTAGCAACTCCAATTGTCTTCTTCGTGGTAAGATCCTGAATAAGACAATGAGAAGGAAAAAATGTGATAGAACAATTCAAATCAGTTGTAAGTTTTTGAGTGGAGATAAGATTAGTAGAAAGCTGAGGAACATAAAGAACATTTTTAAGAAACAAGGAAGGTTGAATCTGAATGTTACCAGAACCAATAACTGATTTATGGGATCCATCAGCTACGGATATAGTATGACTACCAACAGTAGGATGATAAGAACAAAACAACTCAGTACGACAAGCCATATGATCAGTTGCACCAGAATCCAAAATCCATGAGGTTTTAAAATCAGTGCAAGAAGCAAGAAGAGATATAGAACGTGTGCTCTTACCAGATAAGATCGAAGAACTATCATGCTCGGCCATTCTTTAACAAAAAAAGTTAACAACCAGCGATAAAATCAACCAAACAGAATATCAAATGACCTCTGATCAGAAAAATAATTACAGATCCAGATAGAAGACAAGAAGACGAGAAGAATGGTGGTGGTCCGGTCCAAAAACACGGCCGCACGCGCCTCCACGCGCCGGAGAAAGGATCTGCGCGTGGGATTCACTCGCCGGGAAAGGGGCGGCGCGTGAGAGCGTGAGAGCGCGTGGATGGGCTTCGCCGGCTGAGATTTTTCTGGTGTGGTCGTCCGGTGAGCGCGCACCTGTCTGTGGGTGGTCGCGGTTGAAAAGTCGCCGGAAAGTGGTCCAAACGGTGAAGACAGATCTAATTGGAGGAGGTCGGAGGTGTTTCGGTCGTTTGTGGCGGAGGAACACTGCGTGGAATGATTAGATCGGAGGAAAAATAAGGTCAACAATGGTCCCCTTGGTCCAAAAGGTCCCCGAAAAAAATTTCCGGTGGCGGCAAGAGGCAAAGAAATTAGGGTTTTGTTAAAAAAGAAGATAATATGTGCGGAAGCAAAGCCCTCAGATCGAGAGCTCTGATACCAACTTGAAAAAGGGTATTCTAATATATTATATAATTGTAAATAATCTGTACAAAGGGTTCTCTATTTATAGAGAATATTTGACCTACTTTTAACCTAATGGGCTTGGCCCAATACAACAAAGGGCTTGGCCCAATACAACAATAAATGACTAAATAAAAACTAAATAAAAACTAAATCAATATTATTTACAACAGCTTTCGACAGGAAATTATGATGTTCTTGATGGAGGAATTAAGAAAGAATTATCCCTAGAAAAGAAACTAAAGATCTATGTACTATATTTTAGAAAATTTTGCCATTTATAGAAAAATTATGGGAAAAATATTGAGGGAGACACCCTTATTAATCTCGCGAGAGAAAAATTGCATACGATTAAGAAAGAAAAGAAAAGGATCGAAGGCCCCTATGTAGCACCGATACCGACACGGGACACGTGACATGATACGACACGACACTTCGACACGTTAATTCTAAAAAATGTTAGATTTTGACACGTTAGGACACGTTTTGATATTAAATAATATTTTTAATTTATGGAGTGTACATTATATTTAATATTCAATAATTTAACAAAAAAATGAAAATAAACTTATAATATTTATCAATTTTGCAAAGAAACATAAGATATCTCAAATATTTATATTAAACTCAATAAAATGGTAATCGTAATCCAACGAATATAATGGTTGAAACTAAAAACTTAACGCAATGCAACCTTTGAACTTTTTTTGAATTTCTATAAAGAGTGTTGAAGTGTCGGAGTATCAAAGAGTGTCGGGAAGTGTCAGACACAACACGTCAGAGTTTTTGAAGTATCGATGCTTCATAGGAAGGCCCTATATGTGCGAGGAAACTGTCCAAGCCCAAGTCTATAAAGGGAAAAAGAAACAAATTAAGATAGAATTCAATGTCCTCCTGAATATAATTTTTACCTCTATTTTGTTTATGTTTGAAATGTAAATCTCCGTTTTATATTTTAGCTTCAATTTCTTATGCTCGTCTCAATTTCTTTCTATATTTTTAATAATGTTTGTGTTATGAACCCATATCAGCCACCAGCTGAACATTTCTGTCACTACGACATAATAGTTTGTAACCTTGAAATACAAAAATATTGAATTATGATATTCAGAACACAAATATTTATATGCTTCGAATCTTTTACACTGACAAAATTAAGCATTTGTTTAAAATAATAGCCACACTTTAGTATAAGATGAACAGCTGTTGGAATTTCTTCTTCGTGTGTTTACCGTCATTTTCACTACATTTTATGCTTATCATTGTTATCACTTTTTAATGGGCCAACGCTGACATTAAAGCTATCATATATTAATACAACCCTAGACTCATAAACATTTGTCTTCATTAGCAACTGACAATTAAAAATTTAATTAGCTTGTATAATTGTTCAACCCAAAAATGATGTTACTTTGGTAAATATTAGACAAAGTTGTCTGAGGTAACTTTAGAAAAAGAAACCTTTTTTTCACTTTTAATAAATAGTGGGCCCACTATATAATTATATCTATAATATGGGACAACATATCTCCTATTGCGTGTAAGTAATATAACCCACCATAAATAATTAGTACCGTGCTTGGTTTCAACATTACGGTAGACAACGTATATATTGTGCAAGTCATTTAATTTTGCAGATGCTTGTTGTTTTAAAGTTTTTTTTTTTTTTGTCAGGTTTATATGCTTCCTCAAGACAGTTTACATAAGTACCCTTTACACATTTTATGAATAGGACCTTACGTACGGATATGCAGATGCAAATGTTTGATGATGCTAGACAAGAAGTGATGCCCCTTGGTTTGATATTTTATGATAGAATGGAATAGATATTTAGTGAGTAATAAGTTGTTTCCATCCCATTTTGATATTTTATGATAGAATGGAATAGATATTTAGTGAGTAATAAGTTGTTTCCATCCCATTTCATCCCATGGATGCGCCCAAATTGGGGAAAAGGAAAAAGAAAATGTATGACAACCAATGTCATTCTATTCCATCCCTTTTATTCCATCTCTTTCCATCAATCTAAACACACACGGTCACAAGAAAGTGTAGAAGTGCTTACTTGTTATATAAAGAAGTTCTTGTGAATTATAAATACTTGATATTTAATTATTTGGAAGTGCTCTATATAAAAGTAAACATGAGACAGGTCTGATAAAACTAAAACTAAAAAGTTTTTGTCTAATATAATATGGCTTTAATGTTTCTATACTGAATGTAGATAAGTTATCTACATTTATTTTCAAAACGAAGTCGTTCTAGGTTGAAAAATTAAAAAATTATAATGAGAAAGACTATTGTAATCCTGAAATAAATTTAATAACAAAAAATATTTTGATTTTCGTCTCCAAACGACATCGTTTTGGGCTCAATATAGATAACTTATCTACATTGACCGTAGAAAAGACGAACCCAATATAATATGAGTTTTATTAATCTCATGTTAAATGAGATAAGGTATCTCATGTCATAAAGACAAACTTGTGGGCTCCACCATATGAAAAAATAAAAAAAAAATAAAAGAAAAAAGTGACACAGTTATCGAAGGATGTGTAAAATTTTTTTTTATCTCATATAACATGAGAATAGTTTTTTCCATATAATATATATGAGGCATAACCAAGAAACTTAAAAACAACCTTTTTGAATTTATCTAAACAATAATATCAAAATATACAAATATTACAAAATTACTGAAAAATAAAAAGGGAACAACAATTAAAAGGAAAACAGAGATAATTACAACAGAAGAATAGGGAAGTAGCCCGCAGATTGAACATTTTGTTCTTCTTTTAAAATTGATTTATCATTTTCATTTTTTTAAACTATATACAAATATGTTATCTTCTTATATTATATATTAGTGTGCTCTTGTTTGATTACAGTTGGACCAAACTCTTGTCCTGGATAAGTTATTTATTCGAGTAAATGTCTCATTTACTTGAACAAATATGATCAAATAAAAGTAAATTGATATATAATTTAAGAAGATAGACAAATTAATACATAGTTTGAGCAAGAGATAAAGTGAAATTTTTTCATTTAAATGAAGGCAAAATGATGAATAAGCCAATATAGCCCAAAAAAAATCTACAGGACACTAAAGTACCACAAAAGAAAGGAAAAACATTATAAAGTAAAAAAAGGAGAAACTATACCCATAGAATATGAATGAAGTAGTAATTTTAGGATTAGAATAATTTTCCCAGTTACTTTCAGCCATTAATGAAACTGGAAAATATTTTTCATCAACGAATGCAAACACTTAATTAAGTTTCCTCTTGCTATCCCTCCCACAAATACTTAAAATAACAGTACACTGTACACCACGACCATGACTCCATGACGGTGATTTTATCTTGAATTCTCCCTAGAAAGTTTGACATTTTCAAAATTGGCGTCTACTACGTGGCTGATGGCTACTTTTGGAGAATAATTTCCCTACTTATGTTTCTGAGTAATTACCCTGCCTTCCAATATCGAGTGCAATAAATGCATCTTCCGGCAAACCTAAAGAAGCAGAGCGAAAAAAAAAAAAAAAGCACCTTTTCCTTGAGTTCAACTATGAGAAAGAACAAAGTTCCCAATGAGTTCAGCCTCTATGTGCTTTTGTTTCTCCTTCAACTATTGTTCCCTCTGCAGGTTAACTCATACAATCCCGTTGATGATTTTGCTGTCAGCTGTGGCGGCTCCGCAACCATTCAATTTCAAAATCGGACCTGGGTTGGAGACGTTGACACCAAACTGTTTTCCATCATTGAATCAGAAACTAGTTCACCTTCTGTCAAAACCAATGCTCCTAACTCTCCTTCTTCAGTTAACTCAGTTCCATTTGGCTCCGCACGTATCTCTCACTCCAAATTCACCTACTCCTTTCCCGTCACTAACGGCCCAAAGTTCGTTCGGCTTCACTTTTATCCAACATCGTATGCTAACTTCAAACCCTACAACACCCTCTTCTCTGTTAAAATAGACAACAACAACAACCTTACCCTTCTTAAAGACTTCAACGCCTCACTTTTTGTTGTCAAAGATGAATCAGAGACAATCACTAAAGAATACTGTGTCAACGTGGAAACAGGTGAGAGGCTAAACATAACCTTCATTCCCAGCACTAATGATTCCGATGCTTATGCTTTTATCAACGGGATCGAGGTTGTGTCTATGCCTCCCTTTCTCTATTACACTGATCCCAATGACTTAGGGCTTAAGCTTGTGGGTCATGACACGCAGTACCAAATTCACAAAGAGAAAGCTCTTGAGACACTTCACAGAGTCAACGTTGGTGATCCTCAGGTTCCACCAAGTCAAGATACTGGTATGTTTAGGAATTGGGACAACGATCTTCCTCGCTACTTGGAGAAGCAATATCCATTTAGTGTATCAAGTGGATTTGCACTTCAATTAAATTATGAAAATAATGTTGTTCCGAATTACACTGCACCAGCTGTTGTGTACTTAACTGCCAGAAGTTACGGGATGCATGCCACTGAGAATTATAATGTTACTTGGGATTTTGTTGTGGACTCAGAGTTTACTTATATGGTTAGGTTACATTTCTGCGAGTTTGATCAGAAGATTCAGGATTATGGTGATAGAGCTTTTCAGATTTTTATAGCTGAAACTTTGGCTGAGCCATATGCAGATGTGATTGGCTGGAGTGGTGGTAATTTAGTTCCCGTTCATAGGGATTATGCTGTGTTTATGTCCACCCAAGGAAACTCTGAGAAAGTTAATCTTTCTATCAAATTGCAACGACTGCAAGAGGGAATGGTGACCAATTACCATGATGTCATATTGAATGGCATCGAAGTTTTCAAGATAAGTGACGAGAATAACAATCTCGCAGGACCGAATCCTGAACCAATTTTATCTCCACCGAAACAAGTGTTGCAAACCCAATCATCCAAAAGCTCGAAGACCACTGTGGTTATCATTGCCGTGGTTGCAGTTTCAGGCCTCGTGCTAGCATCTGTTATCGGCATCATAGTTTTTCAACGAAGGAGAAGAGGCCATCATGACATGGAAGATAATTCATGGAAGACAAAGGGTAAAGGGTCATCTTTGCCATCCCATTTGTGCCGCTACTTTACAATCGCAGAGATAAGAGCTTCCACAAACAACTTCGATGATGCTTTCATCATCGGTGTTGGAGGATTCGGCAACGTGTACAAGGGTTACATCGATGGGTCCACACCCGTTGCGGTCAAACGCCTCAAGCAGGGTTCTCAACAGGGTTTCAACGAGTTCAGGAACGAGATCGAGATGCTATCACAGCTTCGACACCTTCATTTGGTGTCCCTCATTGGTTACTGCAACGACGGCACAGAGATGATCATTGTCTATGACTTCATGCACCACGGCACTCTCTGTGAGTATCTCTATAACTCCGATGACCAGCCACTTCCGTGGAAGCAGAGGCTCGAGATCTTATTGGGTGCAGCAAGAGGGCTCCATTATCTTCATGCGGGTGCGGAGCACAATATCATTCATCGTGACGTGAAGAGCACCAACATCTTATTGGATGAGAAATGGGTGGCTAAGGTTTCTGACTTCGGGTTATCCAAAGTGGGACCCACTGGGACTTCGATGACCCACGTCAGCACAGTCGTGAAGGGGAGCGTTGGGTATTTGGACCCGGAGTACTACAAGCGTCAAAGGTTGACTTTAAAGTCTGACGTGTACTCGTTCGGTGTGGTGCTTCTTGAGGTATTGTGTGCGAGGCCACCTTTGGTTCGTACGTTGGACAAGCAGAAAGCAAGTTTGGTTGATTGGGTTCGGAGATGTTACGAAGAAGGAGAGATTGATCAGACGGTGGATCCATTTCTAAAGGATTCTATTACGGATGAGTGTTTGAAATGTTACTGCCAGATGGCGTTGAGTTGTTTGCTTGATGATGGGAATCAACGGCCATCCATGAGTGATGTAGTTGGGACCCTTGAGTTTGCAATGCAGTTGGTGGACAGTGAGGAAGATAAGAAGTTTGGTGGGACCCAAGAAGTGGGAGACAGGGAGAAAATGCTACAATTACCGCAGTTTAAGAGCGATGAAGGGAGTGATGTGCGTTTCACTAGTAGTGATGAATCGGGGTCCAAGTCCAGCAACGTTACCACAGTCTCAGCCAGTACTGAGGAACACGCTTTGGTTTCTGCTTTGGTGTTCTCCGAGATTGGGAATCCAAGAGCACGATAGGACTCTTGCCAAGGTTTCGTACTCTTTTTTGTTTTTGGTAATCTTCGTACTTTATATTTAGTGTAACACCCCGTTCTAGAACCGGTTTGTTAACATCGCATTATGATATTAAGTGCAGTTACAATCACATGGGTTCAATTAAAATCCGGTTAAATTTTTCATTTTAAAACATGCCGAATTTATAATGCCCAATTGCGTGATCATAACCATATTACTTTGCGGAATCAGATAAATCAAGCTTAATATCATGTTCTTATTCCATTTTTAAAACCTTAATTTAATTCTTATTTATTTCCCAACTTCTACTATATTGTAGATTTCTTCGTTAGCTACGCGTGGTTTCAAACCGCTCCTCATTTGGAGCTCTGTAGCTCAAGTTATGACAATTTTACTAACTCAGGTGTATGCTGAAAAACTACGCGGGCAGGGCGCTTAAGCGCCCACAGACAGAGGGAATTTACATTTTTTTAGCCACCAAGGGCGCTTAAGCTCGCTCCAGGGCGCTTAAGCGCGCTACCTGGGCGCTTAAGCCCCCATTTAGGGCGCTAAAGCCCCAGGCGGCAGAAAGCTTTTGGTCTTCACAGGTGCATCAGGGCGCTTAAGCCCCCTCATGGGCGCTTAAGCCCCCTGAGCAGGCTTAAGCCTCCATTTGCAGGCTTAAGCCCCCTCTTCTGGGCAATTTCCTATACTCATATTTTTCATGCATCTTTCTTGGGGAATCAATCCTACACATTTTACAACCTATTTAACAAGCTTGTGATATCCCTATATCATTACTTAACTCTCATCCTCTCATCATTGATTTAACAGAAATTGGGCAGCATAACCTTTGTTTTCTCAACGTTTCCCAACTTAGCACAAGGTACCTAATTGACTTTCCAGCTCAACATATCCAATACATAAAAATACATTCATGCATTTAACTTACAGTAAGCATCATACACAAATATCTTCATTACTTACAATATTACATCATGTCTTAATTACAAATCTCATATACATGCCAAAGGACTTAGCTACAAAATGAACATGATCAAAGCAAGTAACCCTGTATCAGATACCCATTACTACTACAATGATCATGCACTAAGTCCTCCAAAATACATCATGTGGCATCAAAATATACATATAGCAATGCTAAATGGCATGCAACTCAACATGTCCAGCTATCAGGTACAGTCTACTCACGCTTCTTGCCTCGATCAACCTCACCTCTATCAGTACCTGAAATGATGCCCCACAACACGGGGTGAGATATACGAATATATCACAGTAAACCAGAGGTCCTTGGAGATCACTCCACCCTAAGGTTCACTTTGATGTACACATAATCATAATAGCTTAACACATTCTTATCCACAAGCATCACATGGACTTCCAAGAGAGATCCACTATGGGCTGTTTCTCTTAGGCTCTTACCACATGGAGATCCACATAGAAGGGAAGTCCTTTCCTCAATCTATTCCAAGAGAGATCCTCAAAGGGCTGTTTCTCTTAGGCTCTTACCACATGGAGATCCACCTAGGGCTGTTTCCAAGGGAAGTCCTTTCCTCAATCTAGGAACCTCCAAGAGGGATCCACATAGGGCTGTTCCTCTTAGGCTCTAACCACATGGAGATCCACATAGGGCTGTTTCCAAGGGAAGTCCTTTCCTCAATCTAGGAACCTCCAAGAGGGATCCACATAGGGCTGTTCCTCTTAGGCTCTACCACATGGAGATCCACATAGGGCTGTTTCCAAGGGAAGTCCTTTCCTCAATCTAGGAACCTCCAAGAGGGATCCACATAGGGCTGTTCCTCTTAGGCTCTAACCACATGGAGATCCACATAGGGCTGTTTCCAAGGGAAGTTCCTACCAATCATCCTCATCATAATACTATCACTCATAACCTCAATCACAATCCTCAACCATTACCTCATTCATTATTGCTACTTCTATAATCATTCCTCAATTACTCTTAAACAATCAAACATCAACCAATAATCATCAATCAATCATAACATGTATCAATGCATGAATCAATGCATGAGCATACAATCACTATCATAATTACATATCACATCTCATAAACCATTTCTCCTCAACGGAGTATGGTGGAACACTCAATGGGATCAACCACAAGGTCCAAAGGTTTACCTTGCTCTTTGAGCTTTCCTCAATTGCACACAACCCCAAGGGTTGGTCACTCCACTTGGTCCTCTTGCCTCAATCCTATCAACACAAGGAATACAATCAAACAATGCTAACAATGCAAGGAAATCCATAGTTCCAAGCCTAGATTTCTCCAAACATCAAAGCATACTAAAATAACACTATAAACTCATTTCTACCGATTAAATGTCATTCCTAGCATTTTTCACAACATACTCTAAGCCTCATTCTTCCTTGAACATAGCCAATCTACTCAACATTTCATAAAAACCCTAAAACACTATTCATTAACCCTAAACTCATACAAATCTCCAAGAATCATGTGAAAGAGAGTGGAAACTTACCACCAATGATCACACAATAGAGGAATGAGTGTTCCTCAAGCTTCCATGGAGGTAGAAACTCCCAAAACCCCACACTTCTCAAAAGGGGCGAATCTTTGGGGACCAATATCTCTCTCCACAAGGACTCCCACTCAAAACCAAGCTAGGATTATGAAAGAGGGGAAGATTTAGAGTAGTTTAGGCTTTTGAATCACCCAAAACGGTTGGGATTTGCTCCCACTAGGTTTTCCCTCCTTCTTCCTCTCTTCTCCCTCTCTTCTCTTCTCCTCCTTTCTGTTTGCTGTCGACGAGCAATGGGGGGAAATGGTTTCTTCTTTGTTCTTTAGTCACTTAACATAAGTTAAGTGACTTTAAGCGGGTATTGGTTCGTCTATCTATTCAACTCCATTAATTACCAAACTTTACCCAAAAGTCTGGAATATTATTCTAGGAATATTACTATTTTTATTTTTATATTTTGGGTACTTTCGCCAGTACCCATTTATACCCCTTAATTTTCACTGAGTACACTTTTTAACTCTAAGTGACTCAGATTCATTTAATTAAGTCTTTTACTTAATTTTACTCACTAAAACATGCTTAATTATTTAATTAAAATTAATCAATTAAATGCTTAAGTTTGGGATATTATATTTAGCAACAACAGTCAGAAGGTAAACATATTCTGTCAAACCAAATAATTTTAGCCATACAAAGATGGTGTGTTGTTTGATCCTATCATTATTTTCCATTATATAAATGATAAATTGGGGATAAGTTAGACTTTACCTGAATTTCTGTAGCATGTTTCGCTTTTCATCCTCGAAATCATGATTTTAATAAAAGATATAAAAAAATAACTTCTATTGCGGCCGAACACACCCTTTTTCTTTTCTTTCTTAATCTAATAGGCAATTTTTATCGTTATATTTACGTAAATTTTTATTTATAATATTTTAATCGTTAATAAATGATTATTATTTTCACAAATTAAATTCATTAATTAATTATTAATTCATAATAAATGATAACCGTTGATCGACAGAAATGAACGTTTAAGATATAATTGTAAAAAATTATAAATAAAAAATAAGTTATAAGTATAACTTTTCTCTTATATAATTGGCCAGATTTTCTAAATTACAGCACATAAATCTTTAATTTCTTTTCTAGGGACGATTCTTCCTTAATTCCTCCATGAAATTGCATCATAATTTCCGGTTGAAAGACTTAAAAGTTACAAATTTAAATTAAAGCACATAAATCTTTAATTTCTTTTATAGGGACAATTCTTCCTTATTTCCTCCATGAAATTGCATCATATTTCCGGTTGAAAGCCTTAAAGGCAGAATAGACATAAGTTACAAATTTGAAAACTTCGATCTCGGAAAATTTAAATATTAACTCATTTTAAATAATTATTCATTTTGGAAATAGATTCTCTCATATATTATTTAACATAATCATATCATATCATGTGAGATTATCTTAAACATCAATGAACAAATTAACGATAATAATTTTGTAACTTTTTATGGTAATATTTTGTTTCTTCATTTGTTATTTAACATATGAGAGAAACATGAGAGATTACACTCGTATTCATTTTTGCTACAGTAGCCAAAATTAAGGGGCAAATTGAAACCATCAAGGAATTAGACACTATTGGTCAAGCATGCAGCGCATAACATATATATTTCCATACAAAATATTAATAACAGTAAATGAAATCTTCTTAGAACTGGGTATGGTTTGTGACTATATATCACCAAAAATCAAAATCCTCATGATACAAAGCAGTCAAGAATGAGGAAATTTCATACAACATAACGCTTAATTTTACCAACATATTACAACCTCCAAGTGCGGAAATTTTAACAACATATAACCAAACTCCTTCTGTTCCCCATGCATATTTAAAATTTGAAAAAAGACATTTTCCCATATCCCTTAAAGCGGTTAACGGATTAAAAAAAAAATAAAAAAAAATCTAAAGCATTCAAACAGACATTTTTAAACTCATGCATGTTTAAAATCTGACCATGTAGCTCGGTTTTTAATCAAACAGAGGAAGAGAACAAGAGGAATTGTTTTCCATAATAGTCAAGTCACACTCTTTTGAGTCCACAATCCCTCAATAGCAAAGAATTCATAACCAAAGAGAAAAAGCAGCATAAGAAGCATTTAATTAGAGGTGCTGATCGATAAAGAAAAACTCGTTCCCTTCAAAGCAGAAAAAAAAAATAACAATTAAGATGTTACAGTGTTTCACACAATATATTGTTAAAATTCTATATACTGGAAAAATCCTTTCTTTCATTGATTATTTAATCTCTCAAAACCAGAATACATTTATACAGAAGCTATCAACTAAATACCTATTTTCTAGGAACAGAAAATATACAAGTTTGGATGCTATCTTGTTTGTTATGGAACAAACTTACAACAATAATTCAAATTCTAATTTTGAATTTAACTTTCTGTTTCAACACTCCCCCTCAAGTTGGTGCATGTATATCTAGCATGCCCAACTTGCTAAGTATTCTTCCAAGGGCTTTCACAGATATCGCTTTTGTTAGTCCATCCGCAAGTTGGTCTTCTGATTTGATGTAGGGAATATTAATGATTTGTAGCTCCAACTTCTCTTTTATGAAGTGTCTATCAACTTCAACATGTTTAGTTCTATCATGTTGAACCGGGTTTTGTGCAATCTCAATGGCAGCCTTATTGTCACAATAAAGACTCATAGGTTGGTCATTTCCTAATTTTAAATCCTTAAGGACACTTTTAATCCATAGAAGTTCACAGATGCCATATGACATACCTCTAAATTCAGCTTCAGCGCTTGATCTAGCTACCACCTTTTGTTTTTTGCTTCTCCATGTGACTAGGTTCCCTTCAACGAACGTTAGATATCCGGATGTTGATTGTCTTGTGGTTTGGTCTCCTGCCCAGTCAGAGTCCGTATATCCTACTATGCCTTCACCCTTATTTTTGGAGAATAGGAGACCTTTTCCAGGTGATCCTTTTAAGCAATGTTATTAGAACCGGACCGGTCATTGACCCGGTCTAGGTACCGGGTCACTGGGTCAATGGTTCAACCGGTGGGTCACTGGTTGAACCGCATGAACCGGATATATATATATAAATTTATATTTTATACTTAATTATATAATAAATATATTAAATGGTGCCATCTACACAATAACCTGATGTAGTTTAGTGGTATTTGCTATGTTGTTTATCCTTAATGCAAGGGGTTCGAACCCCATTACATGCAGTTTTTGAAATAATTCTCTTAACTTAAAAGTTATATGATAAATATATTAAATGGTATAAATTATTCAACAAGTGATGGTGGCGTAGTGGTAAGAAACGGCTCTCTTTACTCCAAGGTAGTGTGTTCGAATCCCACTTGCTGCAAAAAAAGATTTTGTAACTAATTTTGAAAAACCGGTTTGAAGGGCAAACCGGTACCGGTTTACCGGTCGGACCGCGGTTTATGACCGGGTCACTGGGTCAATGCCGGGTCGATTACTTAAGCGGTCCAATGTTATAACCGGACCGGTTGATGGACCGGTTTCCGGGTCAACCGGTCGGACCGGCCGGGCCGGTCCGGTTTTAATAACACTGCTTTTAAGTACCTCAGAATTCTGAATACAGCCTTCATGTGGTCCTCACTAGGAGAGTGCATAAATCTGCTCACTACTCCTACTGCATAACAGATATTTGGTCTTATATGTGATAAATAGATAAGTTTCCCTACTAGCCTTTGGTACAGATAAATAGATAAGTTTCCCTACTAGCCTTTGGTACATGCTAACATCCGTTCCAACCTGATCTGGGTAAATACCCAATTTGTGATTTACTTCTATTGGTGAGTCAGTTGGCTTGCATGCAAGCATTCCAGTTTCAGATAGCAGATCTAGAACATATTTTCTTTGTGATAAGACTATTCCCTGTTCGGATCTTGTAACCTCAATACCCAAGAAATACTTTAGTTGACCCAAGTCCTTCATATCAAATTCAGTAGCCAAGTGTTGTTGGAGAGCTTTTATTTCCTCCTCATCATCTCCAGTTAAAATCATATCATCTACATAAACAATGAGAATAGTTATTTTCCCTTTTCTATGTTTGAAGAACAGGGTGTGATCTGCGTTGCTCTGAGTATACCCATACTTTCTCATTGCTTGAGAGAATCTCCCGAACCAAGCCCTTGGTGACTGCTTTAGACCATATAGTGCCTTTTTTAACTTGCAAACTGTATTCTCCTTTGAGGATGAAAGCTTTACTCCAGGTGGCACATCCATATACACTTCTTCTTCCAATTCTCCATTCAAGAAGGCATTTTTTACATCAAATTGCCTTAATTTCCAGTCTCGGTTTGTTGCCAGGGAGATCAAGATTCGGACTGTATTTAACTTGGCAACAGGAGCAAAAGTTTCTTGGTAATCTACACCATACTTCTGAGTGTAGCCTTTAGCGACCAATCTTGCCTTGAATCTATCAATGTTCCCATCAGCTTTTAGTTTCACATTAAAGACCCACTTGCACCCAACCGTTTTTTTATCTTTTGGTAGATGAACAAGCTCCCAAGTGTTGTTGTTTTGAAGTGCTTCCATTTCCACTTCCATGGCATCTTTCCATCTTGGATCATCCAATGCTTCCTGCACACCACTTGGAATACAAACACTAGATAGTTGATTGATGGTTAGAGCACATGATTTAGAGAGGTTTTTGGTAGATACATAGTTACTAATTGGGTATTTGGTTTTGACTTTGGGGTCTGGTTCATAAAACTGTTTTGGTATACCTTTATTCATGCGGGCAGACCTTCTCATCTGAATGGGAGAATTATGAGATGTGGGAGGGATGATGGAATCAGAGTGTAAGTCACTAACCTTTTCAATTTGTGTTTCATGGTTCTGTGGAGATGAGATCCGAGGTGTAGGAGTTAGATCCGAAGCTTCAGGAGACGGAGGAGATGCATCACTTGGTGGAGTAGAGGATGCAGTAACAGGGGGCTGTTCTGCAAGACTAAATGAAGGATGAGATGGCACAACTGTAGGCTGTTCTTGGAGACAGATTTCGGCTTATCCACAATGATCCAGGACGAACTCCCCCTGAGAAGAAGAAACTAAGTCTCCCCCTGAGTAATATGGGACAGATTCATAGAAAGAGAGTTCCAAAGAGATATGCATTTTATGAGTAATAGGATCAAAACACCTGTAACCTTTTTGAGTATCCAAATATCCAACAAATATACATTTTGTTGCACATGGATCAAGTTTAGACCGA